ATAATATTTATATCGAGTTAGGTGGGCTTTGTGCGTTAGTTTAGAGCAATTTAAAGAATAGAAGATCCAGGTGGTTTTGGTATAGCAGTTGTTTTTTTTTTTTTTTTTTTTTTTTGCATTATCAGGAATTCCACTTCTACAATAAAACCCAAGGTAATATATGTCCGATATCTTTCTATTTACTTGGCGGGAGGGGGGGGGGGGGGGAATATTAACAAAAACAATACACAGAAGAGTCAGAATTTGTGGCAAGGGTTTAACGTGGGTTCCTGCCTGTAAGGCTTAACCCCACGGTGGCCCAAACCACTTTTTAAGCGTACTACGCCCCCTGGCGAGTTAGACAATCCCCACAGAGTAGGGGCCTAAACAGCACCAGAGTCCAGATCAGTTTATTGTGTATGGAACAATAAACCCCACTCTGGTGAGTGGCGAGGGCCTAGCTGCACTCATTGTTCCATTTTAGCTAGGAACTCGCCAACCACAACCACCACGAGTACTCCCCGAAGGGCCGCACCCAGTAGTCAGGACTCACCAATTGATCAACTGACTGCTTCCGCCATAAGGCTTCCACACACACAGAAGAGTCAGTTAAAATAAAAAAGCGAACATTTTAAAAAGGTCAGACAATACATATCCAAAATTTCAGCCGCTTTAAAGATAATAGATAGGTTAGCCGCTTTACTTTGCTCAAAGATAGAGCGATACGCTTTTAGAATGCACCCAGGGCGCCTCGATTAGCTTCCGTATTCGTTCGCTGGATTATTGAGATTATTGATGGTGTACACACACGTTCAAATTGATTCTCTCCCTTCAGATTAGGAACTAAAAAGTTTTGAAGAGAAAACTTAACTGAGAGTGATTTTGTATTCTAATCTATAAAACTGAAATAAAATCAACTATTCTAAGGCGCCGAATCACATTAAATCGGGTAGAACGTAAGTCGAATTACTTTTTTAAAGCTTGTTAAGATTGTTGCGCATGAGGAGAAATTTTACAAGTCTTTGTTGCGAAAATCCCTGTCATTGCTAACAGATTGGCAAAATCTCTATATCTTCTTACAGTTTGGCGGTGGGTATTGTAGGATATTCTTCAGGCAAGTAGGCAACGCCTACATTTTAGAAAGACTTTACTATACCATGGGAAGGGTGTTTTATAAACATTAACTTAATGGAAAGCTAATAGAATAGAATCGAGGTATTATAACCCTTTTAATAGAATTCGGTATAAGTTAGGTTGAGTCATATACATCAGTGCTGCAAGGCATTGCGTAGTCGTTTTTAATCGACTGTACAGCTACATTTAGATATATTAATATATATCTTTACAATAATTATTCTTATTATTATTATTATTATTATTATTATTTGCATTTTATAGCTATTGAGAGTAGAGTGAAGTAGATTAGTAGATATACGTACATTAAAGATATAGAAAAATAGTTGATTTCGAAAACTTTATATATTACATTCAAGTATATTAGTTTTAATATAATCAACGATTGTTGTTTGTCTTTTATTAATTGTATTGTGATTTTACATTTGTTTGCATTTATTTCAATAACATTTCAAATAAATTTATATAAAATAAAATAGAAAGGTATTGTCATGCTTTTTAAAAATATTATTAATCATTATGTCCGCCACCTGGCGCCTAACAGACTCAAAAGCCTAATAATTGGAAAGCCTAACCTAACGAATTGCTTTTCATAATAATATGATCGAAGTATTCGAAGCTAAACTGCGCGCATGTCCCTCAATCGCCCTTCCATTTTTATATGATGCAAAAGTTTCTCGCATTTCTCTTCAAAATTACCTGCAGGTGGCGAATATATTTAGCATTCGATCTAAGCCGAATGCATTCGTTTTTGGGTTTAAAATATTGCATTTTTCCTTGTTGCTGTTTTTTTTTTTTTTTCTTTTTCTTTTTGTGTTTTTCTCCTTTCACATTTATGTGTATGGAAAACATAAACATATACATATATATATACATAAGCATATATTATGTTATGTTATATTATGTAAAATAATTTCGCAACATTTTTGATAGTTAAGGTGGTATATCTTGCAATAAGGTTTAGTTAACTTTAGTTTACTTTTGATTGATCTGATTGTGTTACTCTTTGTTTTATATCTCAATATTTCTTTTCTTTTTTTTTTTATTAATTTTTTTTTATTTTGACTTATGTACACGATTTACGAAATCTACCACGCATATAATGTAAAGTTATATATATGTAGTAAAGTTAAATAACATACACTTCGTTTAATTTTCATTTTCAATGGTACAGTGACTTAAAAGTGTTTTGAAAACCTATTCATCTTTATTCAGTTTGAAATTAACTCTTCATCGTAATCAGTACATTAAATAACCCGAGACTCACACACACTTATTCATTCATACCTTTGTAAAAGGCGTATAGGTTTAAAAGTTGCCATACAGGAAACCATCAGACGATTTAGCGTATTTGGCATAAGTTAAAAGAACAAGTGAAAACGCTTTAATGGAACGTGTCCCATCATCAAATAACTTACATCACTTCGTCTAAAGCAGTTATTCATGTAATGGAGTGGTCGAAAAATCGATCTGTTCCCATCCGATCCGATCCGATCCGATCCGATCCGATCCGAATCATTTGCAATCGCACACGTCGTTGGTTCAAAACATGTCGGTATATTAAATTTAATCAAAATATCGCAAAAATTACGACCCGTAGATTGAACACAAGAAAACAAGGCAGACAGACGTACAGACGGACAAGCAAGCTTAGTTCAGTATAATAGAATATGGGTCTATCGTAAGTCCTTCTATATGTTGCATACATCCGGACATACTTAATCTACCCTTGTGCACACCTAAGTGGGGTAAAGCACAAGAGATAGATATAAAAATGTTATTAAAATTATTGACTCATTTGGCATCCGACAACATTTCTATACGTATTTGACAAAATGTATGCTTTCGATATGCAATCGACGGTAGATGTTAGCTTTTAATTCGTTTTATCGTCTTGTCTACGATTTTTGAGCATGTACAGTGTAAAGTGTCCGCTACTGACCTCGGCACATAGAGCAAAAACGACAACTTCGAAAATTCGACCCTGGAACATCGGCTTTCTAGAATCAGAATTGCAGACTAAAAAATGGTTATGGAAACTGGAAATGGAAAAATGTATCCTTCTAATACACTTCAAGAGTTTAAACGCATTTTCTTTGAAACCCGGTTTTCCCGGTTTTCAAATTATGCGGATCATAACTCCACAAATTTTCACTCAAACATTAATAAGCTTAAAATATTCCCCGTATTTTACTAGATATGAATAGGTAGACTGAGTGATCGTTCTTTACCCCATTTGTTCGAATCAAATTTGGACCAGTTACACTACATGCCGCGGAGTCTCTTCTATTAATTGTGCCTGGCAATAATGACTCTTGTGTGTGTTTCCATTTTGTAAGATTTTTTCAATGCTTATTACGTATATGCTTGATAATCTCCTTGCGTATAATTATCCAGTTATCCTAGTGGCTTTCCTTACACCCAAAGAAAACTTGGCGAAAAAACGTCTTTCATCAGCCTATTACAGTGATGTTATCGCTTAAATTGATTATAACAAATACTATTAGTCCACGAATATAAAAGACGAAATCGGCGATTTTATGAAACGATTTGAGCCTTAGTACGCTTAGTTCATGAGTTTTTACTCGCTGTCGCAGGAGATGAGTATTTCAAGCCCGCTTATAATACCAAGGCACTTTTCGACTTATATAGTCCCGAATTTCTAAATTCCCAAAACCGCCTGACCAAGGCTTAGGCACCACATTTAAGCTCTTAGTTGATTTCCAAAACATGTTCGATTGAACTGAAGAGTTTTTTTTTTTTTTTTTTTTTTTTTTTTGTATTTTACGGTAAAGCAAAGCAAAGCAATCCTAATATCCAATCCTTTCAGTCCTTTAAGATTAATATCGTTTTATTACTTAAATATGAATACTATATTTAGGTCACTGTATTATACGAATATAATGCTTCGCTGTTATATAGATTTTCAGTCAAGTCCATCATATATAAGAAGAGAAGTTTTTATATCAATCGAATTTGATGATATCGATACAAATTTTTATTGAAAAATAAAGAAAAAAAAAAAAAGAAAAACATTTCAAAGCAGTCATTATATCTCTCCATAAACTCTGGGTTTGCGTTGTGTGCTTTACTTTGATTTGATTTTGTTTGAAGGAATGAATGAATGAATGAATGAATATATCTACGAAACATCAACAATTTGTAAACACGCACATCAAGAATTTCAAATTTAATGTAACGTAAATCGTATTGTGAATGAAGTGTAATGCATTACAAATATAATATGAAGCAATGCTCGGCACTCATAGGCTCGTCGACGGCTGTACGCGTTGGCTGGCGTCTCTCTCTCTCTCGACAACAATTTATAGTTTATTTATGCATTCCTCTCTTCCTCCCTGGAATGACAGAACGGAAGGAGAAAAGGAGAAATGGCTTACGCAGGCTACGTGAAAAATTTTCATTTCATTCGTACGCTTGCCAACATTCTCATCAGAAATTGATGGAGTTTCGCATACGCATAGCTTTCATTCTGATGCCTTTCCGTGCTTCCGTATACGAATTGATTTGATTTTTATATTTTAGTTTGCTCTTTTTTTTATTCTTCTCGTTTCTCTCAACACTTTTTTGGCATTATTTAAAAAAAAAAATCAAATCATATCTTTCGAACGAAAACGCAACCGAAAACGAAAACGAAAACGAGAACGAAAACATTTATGACGTAATGATGTTTGAATATTTGTGAATTTCTCTCTCTTAATTTTTTTTCGTGTTTTCATGTTTGTTTGTTTTTATATTGTAAATTTCATATATTAATATATATTTACCATATAGTTCACTGAAACATGTTTAATTAATTAATTTATTAAATTTTGTTTTATTCATATCAACAAAAATGGAAAATGCTCTCATTTATAAGTTAATTATATTATTTTCAAAATTTTCCATTACATTTTCACTCATCTAATAAAAGAAAATAACATATAAGTTGTAAACTTTACCTCGCGTTTACTTACGTATATTATTGAATCCGTTTATAGCCAATATTCGTGAAAATTATTTCAATTTAAATAAAGACTTCACTGTTAATTATTTGACAAATAAATCTTTTAATGTTGAACAAAGCGAAGCATCGCAGCTGTCTTTCGAGTCGTCCTCATTTGTTTTGCTAAACCAATTCAATGTAGAGCGTACAGCATTTGTGGCCTGCTGTTGGGGTCGATTGCGACGCGATGGGCCATGATCTTTGGGTACTGCTCCCTTACCGCTGCCTTTCGATGTAGTTGTTGCAGTACCGCTACTACTCGATGGCCCTGATGTTGAATTCTTGCGCAGAAAGCCTTCAATAGCCGAGCCAAGAGCGGTAGCATCGACAATGGCTTCTTTGGTTTGCTCGGTCCAGCTTTTCTGTTTACTGCGCGGTTTCAATTTTGGTTTACTTTCGCGTAACACGTCCTTAGATTGTAGACGTTCCATCATTTCTTTCGAAAGGGCCATTGCTGTACTTTTACTGCGTACACTTTTCTTTCGGGCCATAGGCTCATGTCGTTTGGCGAACCAACCGGACAACGCAGCCGAACTGTTGTCTTGCGCATCACTTACCATTTGTTTCGCATTATTCAATATGGATACATCGAAACTGTTCGAACGTGTTGAACGGCCAACATTAGGATCGAGCAAATTTGAACTGTTACTTGATGCTGCCTGGCTGGCATTAAGATTTGTTTTAGTTTTTGTCGATGAGATAACTGAACCCTGTGCATCGTCATATTTATTAATTTCCATCGCCGAAGACGTAAGTGTATTGAAAATTGAACTAATATCTGGTCGACTGCCAAAATTCCAGCCGGTATTCTTTTTATCCTTAACAGAGGAACGATTGCTGTGCGATTGTATAATGCTCGGTGAGATAATGGCGGGATGTTCTGAAGCTCTGCGTATATTTGGCGATACTAATGGTTGCGGACCGACACATTCGGAGAAGCGTCGATTTGTGTAACGCTGCGGCGTGGTACCAGATTGTCCAACCTCGTTTAACGTTTCTACTTCGCATACTTTCTCGCTACTGGTTGTCCAAAGTTTCATGCGCGCCTTACGCGACTGCACTATATCATCCATGATATCCAATTGCAAATTGTGAATGCTGCCTATCGGATCTGTGGATGGTGGGCCAGCTGAAGTGCTACTTTCTCGTCTCGAGCTCAACACGCGGCTGGTGAGATGGAAAAAAGGTTGAGATATAAATTAAATTGGCATTAAAGCCTCTTACGAAAACCAACCAACCCCCTTCCCCAACTCACCCAGTGCTTGGTATAGCGGCTACCGACTCCCGACGCGAGCGGCCAAATAAAGTTGGCGGCACTTTCGAAATGGTAACAACCGAGTGCCGTCGACCCGATGGTGCTGGCGCCTGCGAAAGTGTGGCCAAAAAGGCTGCCTCTCTCGGTGTAGGTCCAGCACCGCCCCGATCAGATAGACGACGTACCTGACTAGCGGTTATGCCTTCGGTAACTTGTTGCGAAGGCAATGAATGCTTACGTCCCTCACGCGGATCACGCCATGGCGAAAGCAAATATGGATTAACCGGTGAATCAATATCCAAACTGGCTCTATTCGAATAAGTTCCAGAACTTTCTCTATCATCTTCTTCGGCCACATTGGACTCTTCCACGACAATTAATGGCTCCTGTTTGGCTAATGAGGTGAGACGCGAAAACGATGGGCGACGCAAGCGAAAAGAATCTAATTTTTTTTTTTTTTTTTTTTAAGTAAATTTGAGAAGAAAAATTTCAAAATATATTTTATTTTATCAAGAGATATTAAATAATAATAAACTAATCAAGGACAATCATATAATATAATTATATATACATATATGTATTTATCGTGAAGACTTTACTAAAGACTCTCTCGACGTGCCGAGTTTACAATCGCACTGAGTATTATAAAAGAGGAAATTGTCTCTACACAGGTTTCAAGGTCCATTCAAGGCTAGTGAATATCTATGCAATTAACCTACACAAACTCAGACATATTTTAAAATGTGAGAATGATTTTTCTAACTCTAAAGCAAGATGACTAACTAAGCTCAAAATTTTTGTTGATTGTTTCACTTGAAATAACTTAACCTGGAATATCTTAACCTGTAAATGTAACCTAATTACACTGTATATTTACGTCGTACATAGTTTGTAAACTTGACGTATATACATGAAGCTACAAGTGCCACAGTGATAGCAATGATACCAAACTTACTTCCGTCGGTACTGTCAAGCTCGTGAATAGTTTTCAGAGCATTTTTTTAGTAGAATCCACAGAACTGCGCTCATGCCTTCTAATGATTGAGATTGCTTGCATATATTCTGTTCATATTTTGTATATATTGTGCTCATATTAGCTCTTTTTAGCATAAATTGTTATGAGCAAGAACAAAATTTAATTGAATTTAACTTTTCTAATCCATTATCTTTGCAGTATTGACTTTCAATTAAATGTGACCTGCGGGAAGTTTCTTCAATATAATTTTTATATATATATATTTTTTTTGTTCATTTCATAAACACCTTTAAAATTTAAATTGAAAGTAAAAATGAGAGCAAACTAAATTTAGCTAAAGTTATTCCTTGATACTATATAAACTCATTCATTTTATTATTCATTTCGAAATTCAAGATAGAAAAAACGCACTGCATACATAGTTGGATCGCGTATATAAATTGTTAAGACTTATTACGAAAACAATGAAACGACGACCACGTTTCGTGTCCATGAGACTTCTTGTGAGAATCTTGTATTTGGTTAAATGAGATCGAAAACAAGGATTATTGCCACTTTGATATAAAGGAAACACATCTGTAGTCCCTAAAAAAGTGATCGTGTAATCTCCCAGAAGTACCTATGTGAGCTTGCCACAATATAATTGGAATGGATTTTCTACTTTGAGGTTATGTTGAACCGTTCGAGTATACTCAAATAAATCACAAACTCCCAATGTGACTTTACTCTTCAAAATAGTTCCCATTACCGACAAGATAAGAGCAAATTTATATAGAAAAACGGCAAAGAATTGGTTTTACAAGACAGCATTTTTATAGAAGTCGAGAGCCGGGCGTTTACATGAAATCGCTTTTAAATAAAATTGACATGAAATAGTATCTAAAATTAAGGAAAGAAATTTAATTTTTATTACAAATTAAAGAGCGAAAAATCGAGCCTATACTTGCGTTTAAATACAGCTTTCATCGGTCGTAACGGTCTCTCTCTCGCTTCATGAATCGGAATGGGAGCAAGTTATAGTTCGAAATGATGTTTCTTTCTTCGTAGGCCTAAGGTTGTACAAATGTCTTATTGAACAATTGATTATGCGTACTATATGGACGGAATGTCAAATAGGCAGCTCGACATTCCATGCTATCGCGTTCCCAGTGCTCTATGCCGTAATTTTAAAATTATGCCTAAATCTTTCCATCCCTTCCCGGATCGTAATGAACAAATTATCGCTTCAACTCTTATTCGATGTTGGTTTAATTTGAATTTGGAATTATTCAGAACAAGCTGTGTATGCGTAAATTGTTTAAGGTCCCCTTATATATATTCAATCTTCAAGAAAAATTTTCACATTAACCACAGGAAAAATATATCTTCAAGAGTATTAACATAATGATCGTCTTTAAAGGTCTTATATCACTTAGAAAAAAATTTTCGCACCTTTCATCGGTCAAAATTCCGGATTCATCCTGATGGATATATGTGTATTATATACATATTACGTATTCTTATGTACGTTTTAGAACGGATAACGGGGGATAAACCCATTACTAGACTTGCCAGTTCGGCTTCAATAATAAAAGTATTGATAATATATCGAAGCTTAAGAATATTTATTCCTCATCATACCGTAGGATTGACAATCGCAGAATTGCCAAATCATGTCCACGTCTACATCTTTTTGCCGTCATCGTTGTCCATTCATGAATTGCTTGCCCGCTGTTTAAATTTTCATCAAAAATAAGATGGAATGTTGACAGTAGGGCCTCGTATGTTGCTAGGTTCTCATGCCCCTACCTTTACCAAACTGTTATGCAACAATGATTCTTACATAATAAATTTCGAATAAACAATTTTTATGAGATCACAATACAACTATCAAGAACCATCAATTTGAAGATAGCTGAAGCATTTGCAGCGACCAAAGCAAACAAAACCGGCCAAAATACTTTGGTTCGGTAGCTTGAGTTATGTCCCAAGAGTCATCCTAAACTATATATATATATATATATATATATATATATGTAGTAATCTCAATTCGTCTTCTTCTTAATAGCAAAGTTGCCTACAAAGTTTTGTCACATCCTCAAAAAAACATTATTTAAACAAAACATATTTGAAAAATCGGAAATGTTTCCGAAACCAAATGCAATGCACGCATGCAACGTACATAAACAAATTATTTGTTAAGGCATAAGTTTGGGCATAAGCATAAGCATCGGTTGGCAGTAGCCTTAGCAATTTAAGAGAAAACCATGTTTCTATGACTTCGTGAAGGGAAATGATACCGTGACTGGTGGAAAGCAATTACTTTTGGAAACGGATGAATGAATAAAAAACTTTATCCTATTGCTGCCTTCACTTTGCATATCAAATCAAATTTAAGAACGAGTCTGATGAAAGGCAAACTGTATTTGCCAACCTGCTATACCGAACTGTTTAACTGTGAAATTGATATATTTGATGCCTTCCTTTCAGCAAACATGACATATATCAAAGCTTACCCATTGTGATTGATCCGATATTTCAAGTTCTTCCCAGAAATCTGTAAGAAAAACAAAAAACGTCAATGAAAATTGCAAACAGATGCAAAGGCAAACGTGTTATTTAATTTTAAAGATAATTAGTCTCTAACAAGCTTCGTAAACTGCAATACCGTTAAGTGGTTTTGCTCAGCTAAAAAGAATTGAGATCATTTTTAATATTTGATGCAAGCTAATTATGAAATATATTGAAAGACAAATATTACGCAACTGATAGAGCACGATCGGAAATCCCAGCAAAAGTCCTTTATAATAAGAATTAAGAATAAAAAAAAAAAACATGATGCTACCGCAAGAATGATTTCATTTCAACTTAATTCTACCGTGGGTAAGATTTTTCCTTTTTCTTACTTATCGAAAGCTATAGATTAGATTTTCATGTCTGATATTTTTATCTATCGCATACTAGTAGTGCTCGGACAAAACATTAGATGTATACGAAACATGATCAATTAGTATTGGCAATGCTTCAATTTATCAAGCTAAGTGAATTCCTCAAGGGCGACAATTAAAATCAGCATAATCATACCCATTGTTCCTTGTATTTATTTTTGTATTTTTTTGCTACAAGTTTACCGGAGATACAAAGTTTTGCTTAGAGATTTAAATTTGGTCATAGAACTTATTTGAAAGGTTTGCTTCATGGATAGCTTTTCGCTTTCCTTTAAATTGTTCCAAAATAATCAGTGATCTCGTTACACGAAAATTCATAAATTCTTCCATAATATATATAGTATATAAAGAGCATATACATATGCATGCATTTGAAATTATCTTATTAGATTACAATGTACATTACAATACAACATATTATATAAGGGGACAGCACACTATTACGGATATAAGTTATTTTTCCAAGAACATCGTTTCGATCGTAGTGTCCCATATTTCCTGCTTTAGAACATTTTTTCGCACTAAATGCGAAAAGGGTAGAGAGAGAATAAAATTTCGTTTTCCATTTTTCGGTAACAATATGAAAAGTATTGAAATCTCAAAGCAAATATTTCCTTTGTTACGTGGAGGTGCATCTTCATTAAATTACTAGCTTTAGATTTTACAAAAAAAGAAGGCTCCCTACAATTGGTTACCAAGCTAAAGTATTTGCTTGACGCATAAGTACTATTATATATAGATTACAAATTTTCCGTCCGCAATGCATCTCCTTATGTCTCATTTTCTGGAAAGTTTTTATCTTAAGTTCAATTTTCTGCGATAGACGATTTGGAAGTATTCCTTGCGCAAAAATAATATCTTCATATCATCTCCTAATCAGACCAGCTTCAGACTTAGGTTCATCTGTTACCGAACCTTTCGAAGCTATTTCGCTATTTAAGTAAGACCAATCGTTTTTGTTATTGAGATGTAAAATTCCGCTATGTAGGAGCACAACAAAGTGGTCATGCAGCAAGTGAACTGCATTTTATAATATATTTGAACGCTAAAAGCATCCATCCATCCATCCATCTATTTTCGTGTTTTGTGATGTAATGGGAAATATTATTTAGGTTTGAAGTATTATATTATTGCACTCAACAAATGCGTAGACCTCGTAGAATGATTGTTGACGATGACATAGAAATATATATCAATATATTTTTATGAAAATTCTTATGTGGTTTTATTTTTTGCCGTTAACTACGGTTTAAACAAAAAAATTCATACGTTTAAGGGTTAAACATAAATTCGCTTTTGCACACAACTGTATCGCATACCTTTAGGCTTAATTGTATTGTATATAATTGAAATGGATTTGTTTTCTTTTCCCAGCAATTCGTAAATTAGAAAATATTTAAGGTTTAAAACAATAAACAAAAAAAAAAAAAAAGAATTATTATTCATTTCAATAATGAACAAATAAATTTATTTATTGCATTTTCTTGTTTTCGTTGTCATAATTTCTCCATTTCTGCACTTTCTCTCCGTTCCATTTCATCAATCAAATTAATTCGTAATTAAGCGTGATTTTAAATACCCGGAATAATTAATTTAATATATAATTCGGTGAAGCTAATATCTCTACAATTTATTTGTTTACCAAAATAAACCGCTAAATATACGCACACATGCACATACGCATGCAGATACAAAAGAGACAGCTATCGTAGAGGAAATGATTTATTAATGCTTACTTTAAAAGAATTTCCCACATTTCTACACGAAGTGGGATATAGCTGGCACAGAGGTAATATATTATTTGTGTTTTTTTTTTTTTTTTTTTTTGTTTTCAATTTTCTATAAATAGTAAATAAATAATTTATCCTTACAATTTGCAAATTATCGCCATACTAGCCACGTAATATTAATATTTACATTCGATATATAGGGTGAAAAAAATGTTTACACCCTAAGGGGTAACACAAGCCATTCATCCGCCATTTCACCTTATTGGAGTAGTGGAAATTCTTGAAGGAAATCGAATTAGCGCACTATTGTAATGTTTGCGTCATGTTAGGCTGAAGGCTAAGATGCATAAGAAATACGTTCAAGTTGTACAAGGAAACAGCGTGTAAACCCCCCCACAAAATTGGAATTTGTGAACATTGTCTTCCAAAGGATTGCCTCAATATCGTATGTCTTTGAGAGTCTTTTTTTTAAACTTCAAGCTATCTATTTAATTTGCCGATCAATCATATTTCCTTGAGCAACGCCTTTGTAAATTATCTATATTTTATGTCTTGCAGGCTCTCCATTGACTCTTCCTCTGCTGAAGTACAAAAGCAAACAAATTCGTTTAGCATATATAGTGCATACTGTTCCGGTATAAATACGACACAAAACTGCAAGGAAAACTGTAGATTGCATTGACTACAAACTGTTGTTCGCTGGAGAGCTGAACAAACATTTTGCTTAGCTTAGAAAACTTTCTCCATGTCATGCATATCTCGCAGCCAGGGAATCATGAATTATTCAAATACGAATTTGCTATAGCGTTCTATATACGTTAAGAAAACTTTATATATTTTCAATTATAGTGAGGCTACTTATTGATGTTTGCTACCCTCTATGAAGTTTTCATTCACTCGATTCAAATTTTCGAATTAAACTGAACGTTGTTCTTGCAACTTTTGCCTATGAAAGTAAAACATTTTAGGTGAAACATAATTCATCAAATATGTTTTGCGCACTCACTATCTTCAAATATATTTTTGTAAAAGCAGAAAATAAAACGAGTAAGAAAATTATGTTCGGTCGTGACTAAATCTTTTATACCCAGCATCGTTATCTCAAAAAAGACAACAATATAGTAAAAGAACTAAATTTTCATTCTCTAGAACACGGAGTGGGCGTTTGGGCTTTGTAGCTGTATCCTTGCAAACTTTACCTCAATTTCAAATTCTTTTGAAAATTTGACGTACAGACGAACATGCTTAAGTGTATTCAGAATTTAAAAGAGTGGCCTACTTTATGGGGTTTTTGCAGCTTGTTTTTGGGCGCTATATAAAGGTTTGAAGAAATAATGAAATTATGAGACACCATAAAATTAAGTAGGCGTGATCACTCTTTGCCATTTTTGTACACGTACTACAGTGTTAGCCACAGAATATGCATTCAAATCTTTGTACATTTGTCTGCTTTAGTTTATGAGTAATGATCAAAAAACCACTTTTATGTTCGTTTGGAAAAGCAGAGATGTTCTAAGTTTGCGTAATACTATAAGCGTTTCCTCCCACAAATTTGACCAATTTTCAATACAAACGTGTGTACAAGAACTTGCAATGTTTGCGCCCAATCTTAAGCCGATAGCCTAATTTTTGCGGCCACAATGTTTAAAACAAATATTACACAAATGGACAGACGGACATGCTTAAAACGATTCAGAATTTGATGTTGACCACGAATATCTATACTTTGTGGCGTCTCTGAAGTTTGCTTCTGCACGTTGCAAACGTTTCGAGAAAACGACTACACCTTCCATCCTTCGATGATGGGTATGAAAATTACGCTTGCATTGAGATGAATTTGATATGCCTATCAGTTATCAGATTATCAATAGTTCTATCGATACTGTTTTTGACTTAAAGCTTAAGCAATGCGTATGTAATGAGAAAAATCGAAAATTTTCGATTCTTTAAATGTCATCTCACAGATCACTTATGTAGACAGCGTGCTTCCTAGAACGGATCGGGAAAATTGCAATATTGTACAAGCGGGCAAACGGAATGCATGGACAAATGAACAGATTAGCGAAGTGGTCGAACGGACAAAATAATACATTGACGAATTGATTGCTAAATAAACAGTGCTCTCGACTTTCCTTTTTCATATTAGCCAGTAATTCACTTAATAGACGTCATCTAACTACCTATTACGTTCTTGTACCAACGACTTACGGCGAGCATAGTAATGGTCATGCTATAGTTTGGGTATGCATTGGAACCAATGGGGCCGGTAAATTGATGTTTAAGGCTGGCTTTCCAAACAAGGAGGGGGATTCAAGAAAAAGTGGGAACAAACTTGGCACTTTGGAAACATTCATAACGACCTCAAGGACAAGCTCCATCTAATTCAAAAATGGCTCTTATATAGCTATCCCGAAATGCTTTAAGCTTTTCCCCAACCGCCAGGCATATATGACGGTGAAGAGACTCAACCTCTTCCACCCAAGACCTGAAAAGTAGACTACAAGAAGAATGGAGTAAGATCCCTGTTTAGTATACAGGAAAAGTTATTCAAAATATGTCGAAACGTTGAAATGCCGTTACTAAGCAAAAAGATTCCTCCACCGAATATTAATTTCTAGTAATATGCTGTTCTTTGTCTTCGTATACTTCGTGATATGAAAAAAAGCCCCAATGTTAATGACTCTATGTTTTTTTTTCCTAGTTATTGTTCAAGTTATTTAATTTTCTTGTCTACTGGAATAATCTCGTGTGTGTGTGTGTGTGTGTGTTTTTTTGGTTTTTCTATATTTTAATATCTATTCCATGTAGTACATTAAATATTTTATGTTTGGACAAGGGAGTAAGTAGGCTTAACAAGCGTTTATATTTTAGCGAACAGC